TTAAGCCACTGGGGGATGTTACAGGGAGATAAACATCCGTTCCTAGCTCTTTTGCCAAACTGCCTGTGAGATGTAAACAAAGTTGGCGTGTATTTGAGCTGTAGCTGTGTGAATGCATCTCCACAGGAAAGAACGCTCATTTAGGATCTCTTGAAACAAGAAACACCTGTTAGAAAATCAATGCATGCAGAGAAAATAACATCCAAATATGCACATGCTGATGAGGCATCATACACACTTACTTCAAAAGATTGGGTCGACTGTCTGGGTTGGGAGAAATCTTTGCAAACTGGCCAGAATTCACACTCTGCTTGATGCCCTGGAATGTAGACCTGGAGGAATTCCAGAAGCAGGACAGCCTGCTTGCAATATGTGGTATCATCCTGCCTCTGCACTGCCTCTGTCTTCAAAGCTAATGCAGAGAAGACTGTTGGTGTTTAAAGCATTCTGTTGATGGCTCTTCTATGCATCCTTCTTGTGCTGGGAAGTATAGCTGCTCTAGGAATGGAAAAGGTGTCTTTGATTTATGCTTTGCTAAAAAAAAAAAAGCTCTTTTGCTTAAAGCAAAGAGTCTGTCATCTCGCAGTAACTGCAATACAGCAGGGCGATAGTCATCCATCTTTTATTCAAGTGCTGACTGTGTTCTGGGAAGTGATCTGCTAAATTTGACTTTTAAATAAAATGCACCAGTAAACTGCAAAACACCAACCAAGAGTCTATGAACCAACAGCTTGCAGGTGATTGCTTAAATGACTATGAAACACTTTGTCTCTGACTATGGCAAAACTGTTACTGAGGGAAGCGTACTTACCCGGTGAGTGACTGGGTGTGGAGGGCTTTGTGAGGGGTGTATTTAGCCTCCTTGGTGTAGAGTCTATAGAGGTGGGCTAGAGAAGGCAGCATGTCTCTTTTTTTTTTTTCCCCAGCCTTCCACGTGGCCTTATCTGCTCTGGTGGCCTGCTGAAGATGCGCACTTGTTCTTTCTATAGCCAAAGACTCTTCTACTGTCCCCAGTTGTGATCCAGTGCTCTCTTTTCCAGATTTGATGGCCGAGTGGTGGCAAAGCTTCCGTTTATCCCCCTCTCATACATCCAAGGTCTCTCCCACCGCAACCTTCTGGGTGAGGATTACACCGACTGCTCCTTCATCTTCCTCTACATCCTCTGCACGATGTCTATCAGACAGGTGAGTACATTACAGTGTCTTTTCTGTGCCTGGAGCCGGGAAGGCACATCTCCATCTGTAAAGAGGAGTCTATTACTGCTGTCCAGTGTTGCATGTATAATATTTGATCTGTTTGTGGTTTCTGTGTTTGCCTTCATTCCTATGCTTCATATTCAAAGCAATTCTTGTTTGGTATCATAAAAACAGCCACTATCCTGGACCGGTGTGGAAGACTTGACTGGAGACTTGCACCAGGGTGCTAGGACAGAGTTGGCAAAAATGGGTTCCTTCCTTGTGTGTGTGTTTGATAACTTTGTGGACTGCCAAACTGAGAGATTGCCTCTATCAGAAGCCAGTCTAAGTACTGCTTGTTAGTAATCATGACTTTTACAGTAATATGAGAAACGAGAAGTGTAGCATCTTCAGAGGAAATGTCCTTGGTGGTTTGAGGTTCTATAAAGGTTCAATCAGTCCATACATCTGCTAGAAGAGTGAGGAAAGTGTTAAACCTGGTCTTCTGGGTTTTTCCTTCCTGTTTTTTGCTGACTGCCTGATTATTGTTTTTTCCCAGTCTTAAGAACTTCACCTTTGGTGTCAAGTCTCTCCCCGTGGTAAAGACATGATGCAAAGGGGGTCTGGTATGATAAACCAAGAGTAGGCTGTATGTAGCTCTTCATCAAAGCTGATTAGTCCCATCTTTTGAAAAGAGAAGCATCAGTAAGGATAAGGGAAGTAAGTGCTTGTTCACTAGCAGCTTAAGTGGCAGAATGGCTGGTGAGGACAAGTGGGTCTTGCACTTGTCAATGCAGCCAGAAGTCTACTTTGTTTTCCAAATTTCCCCAGAGTGTGCTAGGGATAAGTTAATAGACTCTAGGGGCTGGATGAATGCTGGTGCAACTAGCTGCAAATTATCTGCTCTTCTGTGTTTACATTTCCTTTATCTTTGATGTGTTTCCTGAATTCTTGTTGCTTTTCTCCTTGACCGACTTGTTGCTTTTCCTCAGGAGGTGCCAAGGGACTTAGACTTAACACACCACTTCCCTTTGCTGATCTATTTTATGCCAGCTGCTGTCAAAAGTTTGGATGAGCTTGATGGAGCAGCTTAATAATAGAGAGTTCCTTTGGTCACAGAGTGCATGCTAGTGAATCGAATTCTCTTTACCCCTCTGTATTGGGTGCTTGAAATGGATCTGTCTGGCCCTGTGTGAAAGCAGATAATGAATTGTAGAATAATTCATTTTGAAAGAGTCACCTGGAGGTCATCTGGCCCACCCCTCACTCCAAGCAGGGACAGCTTCAGAGTACCGAAGGCCAGAGGCTTCCTCATTCTGTTTGCTGCAAGACAAATCTTGTTTCACTTCCCAGTAACTGGAGCAGAGTTTGCTGCTTTGAAAGAAATGAGACTTTTTTAGTTCTTAGGAATGTCTTCCAGAATTCCTGGGATGATGTGGTCTGATGTGGTTCCTTCAGGCAGTCTTGTCTGGTGCTGCTCTGTGTTACTCACCTGTTACATGCAAAGTCCCTTCTTTCCAATGTTGCAGATTATTATATGAAACTAAATGGCATTATCAGCAAGATTTTTCTGCACCCATTGCGTTGATTGGGGAACTCCCTTGCTGAAAAATCCCCCATGGATTTTTTTGTCCAAAAATATAAATCCTGTGGTTAGTTGTAGTCCTGGGCATTTCCTGATGTTGCCTATTGTGAAATCAGTCGACAGCATGAACTGGGTGGTGATCCAGTCTGGTCCTGGGCAGAAATGCTGAGCTGTTTGCAGTGGGTTGGGCTTCCAAGAGATATTCTGGAAGAAAATTGCCATTGTGCTTGCAAGTTCATGGTGATGGCCCCTGTGGAGGACGGAAGTTACTTTATTGCTTTGGAGAAGGGTGTTTTTGCTCTGAAGTGTTAGACTGCACTCTTTGTAGTGCTGCCTTATCTATGTGATTGTGGTTAACTGTACCTGCAGTTCTCCAGCTGTTAGGCAGCTCATTTTCTTCCTCCTTGCCACATGGAGGGAAGGGCAGGGACAAGCCACATTAGTTTGTGCAAAAGTTAGGAACTGAAGCTGTGATTGCTGGCACCCTGCTTTTGGCTTTATTACCATTTGAAGGACCTTAGGTGATAACAGCATTGGGAAGAGGACTTTGAAGGTCTGTGAGAGGCCAAGGGAGAGGGGAAGAAAGTAATAAAGGGCTTAAAATAGTGCCTAAGACTTGCTTTTGGTGCTCGTGATGACCTTGGAGGTGAAAGCTTTGTGACCCTTTGTGTTTCACTGTGTGCAAAGGGGGAAATCTCACCAGGTCAGCTTCAAAACAGCTGTTAGCCCAAGGGAGGAGAACTGATGTGGGAGCTAGTGTCTGGCTTAATGCTGTTGACACAGGAGGAGAAGTGGAGGTGTACCAAAAGTCAGGGAACAGGCTGTGAACAAAGGAGACCATACATCCCTCAGCCTTCCCTTAAATCCTGGAGCTGCCTGTGAAGGGATCAAAGGCAAGGAAGAGAAGCATCCCGGCGGAGCTGAGAAGTAGAGGGACTTGTGTGTGTAAAAAGTGACCTGGAGGGAAATGCAGGGGAGTACGTGAGGGTGGGAAGACTAACTGGATGGTGACTAAACTGACATTAGTGGGGTGGGCAGTAGCAGCATCAGGCAGTCTCTTTATGTGGTCCTCAGGCATGTGAAGGTGATAAACTCTTCAAACACAGACTGGGAAGCTTGCTGCCTGTGACCTGGCCAGCATCTCCCAAAATAGTCAACTCGAAGTGAGTAACTTCCTTTGCACTATTCCCAGCTCTCCCTGGCACGTAAATCCTGTCCCCTAGTTCCTCCTGCCTTCCTGTTTGGAGAGAGGAGGATTAGTGGGAGAGGCCTTCCAAGGGTCCTTGAGCTGTTGGGTTTCAGCTGGGAAAGTCTGCTGCTGGGTTGGGTGGGAGGGATAATGTCAGGGTTACATCCTCTGTCCCTGCTCCTGTTTCTGAGCTCCCAGCCTTCACCTGTGCTGTTTGTGAAGAGAAATATGCTGCTGTTCCTTAGGCGTTTGCTGGTCTTCATTTCCTTTTCACATATGCCTGAACTGCTGCTGCTTTCTGAAATGCATTCCCAGTGGGAAGGGGAGCCAGCAACTATCCCTAGAGCCAGGAGCGCACTTTCCCACATGGCCTGATCTTGGTGCAGGGAGACACTCACTGCCTTGTCTTTGAGACCCCTTCTGGGTTTGAAGACAAAAGCAGAAGCTGCTTCTGTCCTTCCTGCAGTTATTTGAGGAGAGTTCAGAAGAGCTCAGATAAGGAATTTGGATCCTGAAGTCTTACAGTCTTCCCTCCCTGCTCTTGAAGGTGATGATCTTGTTTGTGTTGGAAGTAGACTCTGCAGGCTTCCTTGTGCAATGTGGTGCACAGCAGACTGGACAGGTTTCTGCTTTCTTGCCCCAGCTCTGGTTTCCAGCTGTAAAGACTTCAGGTTTGCTGTCCAGCAAAACTTGCTTTGTGGCTAGTGCAGGAGGCTAGCTGCCTTCCACAGCGAGGAGACTCGTATGTAAGGATAATGCTGGAGAGCGACTGTAGTCTTGAATCCACTTACACATAAGATGTCATCTCTTTTCGTCTTGGAACTGTTCAAGCGGCTGGAGTAAACTTTAGCACCACAGTTCTCTCTCTTGATACTTAAAGGAACAGGGAGGAGGCACTGCATACTTCTTTGCTTCCAAGGATGCTCTGCTAGGCTCTCTGCTCTACTCCACTGGTGAACCAGTGCAAAGCTGGTAGGATCTGTGTCCTGCCTGCAGCTGACTCTGCAGCACCCTCTGGTGTTGCTCAATCTGTCAGCTAGCTTCTTTTGTTCTCCTCATTCTGTCCATCTCTTGACTAAGGAAGCTCTGAGGAGAGGAACCACACAGTCTCCCACAGTGAAATGCTCTCATATATACATATATACAAGGACAGGTAGCTTGGGCGGAATACAGAGAAATAGTCTGAGTGGCCAGGGATCACGTTAGGAAAGCTAAAGCCCTGATAGAATTAAATCTGGCCAGGGATGTCAAGGGCATCAAGAAAAGCTTCTGTAGGTACATCAGTGATAAAAGGAAGAATAGGGAAAATGTGGGTGCTCACCAGAAGGAAATGAGATGTGGTTACCTGGGATATGGAGAAGGCTGAGGTACTATCAAGTACTTTTTTGCTTCAGTCTTCACTGGCAAGTGCGCAAGCCACACGGTCTTCCCGGGAAAGGGCAAAAGCCACACCGCCCAAGTCACAGAGGCAAAGGCAGAGACTGGGAGAATGAAGAACTGCCCACTGTAGAAGAGCAGATTTGAGACCATCTAAGGAACCTGAAGGTGCACAAGTCCATTGGACCTGATCAGATGCATCTGCAGGTCCTGGGGGACCTAGTAGATGAAGTTGTTAAGCCACTATCCATCATATTTGAGAAGTCATGGCAGTCTGGAGAAGTTCCTACTGACTGGAAAAGGGAAGCTGACTGGAAACATAACCCCCACTTTTAAAAAGGGAAAAAAGGAAGTCCTGGGGAACTACAGGCCAGTCAGTCTCACCTCTGTGCCTGGCAAGATCATGGAGTAAATCCTGCTGGAAACTATGCTAAGGCACATGGAAAATAAGGAGGTGATTGGTGACAGCCAGCATGGCTTTGCTAAGGGCAAATAATGATTGACAGATTTGGTGGCCTTTTACAATGGGGTTACAGTGTGGGTGGATAAGGGAGAGGGAAGAGTGATTGGTGTAATTTACCAATTAAATTACAAGTTAATTTAATTAATTAAATTGTAATTTAATTTAATACCAAGTGTATTGTGCAAAGCATTTGATGCTGTCCCACACAACATCCTTGTTTCTGAATTGGAGGGACATGACCATGATGGATGGACCACTTGGTGGATAAGGAATTGGCTGGATAATTGCACTGAGAGTTGCGGTCAACAGCTCAGTGTCCAAGTAGAGACCAGTGATGACTGACATTCCTCAGGGGTCAGTATTGGGACCGATGCTGTTTAACATCTTTGTCAGCGACATGGGCAGTGGGATCGAGTGTACCCTCAGCAAGTTTGCCGATGACACCAAGCTGTGTGGTGCAGTTGACATGCTGGAGGGAAGGGGTGCCATCCAGAGGGACCTTGACAGGCTTGAGAGGTGGGCCTGTGCAAACCTCATGAAGTTCAATCATGGACAAGTGCAAGGTCCTGCACATGGGCTGGGGCAATCCCAAGCACAAATACAGGCTGGGCAGAGAATGGGTTGGGAGCAGCCCTGAGGAGAAGGACTTGGGAGTGTTGGTTGATGAGAAAATCAACATGACCTGGCAATGTGTGCTTGCAGCCCAGAAAGCCACCCATATCCTGGGCTGCATCAAAAGAAGCAGGATAGCAAATTGAGGGAGGTGATTCTGCCCCTCTCGAGACCCTGCCTGGAGTACTGTGTCCAGGTCTGGAGTCCTCAGCACAGGAAAGACATGGACCTGTTGGAGTGAGTCTAGAGGAGGGCCACAAAGATGGTCAGAGGGCTGGAACACCTCTTCAGTGTGTACAGGCTGACAGAGTTGGTGGTGTTCAGCATGGCGAAGAGAAGCTCCAGGAAGACCTTATTGCAGCCTTCCAGTATGTGAAGGGGGGCCTAGAAGAAAGCTGGAGAGGGACTCTCTTTACAAGAGCATGTAGTGATAGGACAAAGGGTAATGGCTTTAAACTGAAAGAGGGTAGATTTAGATTAGATAAGGAAGAAATTCTTCACTATGAGGGTGGTGAGGCACTGGAACAGGTTGCTCAGAGAAGTTGTGGATGCCCCATTCCTGGGAGTGTTCAAGGCCAGGTTGGATGGGGCTTTGAGCAGCCTGGTCTAGTGGAAGGGATCCCTGCCCCTGGCCTGGTCTAGTGGAAGGTATCCCTGCCCATGGCAGGGGGATTGGAACTAGATGATCTTCAAGGTCCCTTCCAACCTAAACCATTGTATGATTCTATGATATTCAGTTGCTGAATATCAGCCAGTGGATGATTTATGTAGACCATGGGCTAAAACTGATGTAATTCCTTTTCAAGTGTTTCCTTCTTTTACTTTTCTTTTACTTTCGTGCTTGTGTGGGCTGAAACCTTGCTTTCCATAGTGTCCACCTGAAATGATTCCCAATTGTGTTTTAACTTAGCTACTCTGGAATTATGAAGCTCTGTCTGCCTTTTGTTCTCCTTTCATGATCAAAAAGTTCAAGAACTTTATGACCTTGCTACCTGACCTATCCTGACAGTTATTTTGGAGAGGACACTTGGTTTTGAAGAGAATCCTCCTTCCTCCTTTTGTCTTGATAGCCAGGACTCAGCTGGTGACATGAGGGGGGCACAGTTGTTTTCTTTCCCTCGCATCATATGTCCCTGTTTTCCCAGCACTGCATGAGCAGCATTTTGAGCTGTAGTTATTTACAGTGAAGGATGAAACTGAAAGACTTGGTAGCTCTTTGTAGTTGCACTGCTGCAAAATTTAAAAGGAATTTCACAAAAATCAAGAAAAACATCAAACTTTGAAATAGTCTGTTGTGAGATTTTTAGCTAATGCCTGGCTCTGCTACTTAATTCTTTCCTTGTTTGTTGTTTTCCACTGAAACACCCTGCTCAGATGCAGATGAGGTCATCTCAATAGACAGTTTTTGGGTTTTACTACATATGTCTTGTTATACTGCGTGTCTCCACCAAACCATTGTTCTGTCTGCAGCACTAGCATTCATGTTAATTCTGTGCTTAAGCTCCAGACTTTAACTTGGCACACGCTCTGGTTGCCATGTTGCTGACCCAAATTCCGACTGCATTAGGAGAGAGCCTTCCTTGCCAGCTTGCAGACCCTCGGGCTCTGATGGCTGCCATCAACAGGGGTTTCTGGAACCTCTGAAAACCAAGGGCTGCTTTGGTTCTGCCTGTGAGCAAATGTTAGGAACATGGTCCTGTGTGTACATTGCAGTTAAATTGCAAAGGTAACTATTGTAGGTTGATTTTTAAACCAATGCGTGTGTGAAGACATTAACAAGGTACCTGCCAGCTGACTGTGTGGTGTGTACCTGGAGGTGGAAGAGAACCCACGATCAAAATGTGGATTTAATGATCAGAAGGCTTTTGTTGAGGTGGGGGAGGTGGCTCAGCTTTAATTTTAAGTCGTGAATGGTTGTCTGGCTAAGCTTCTTAGAATGTGCAGGGATAAAAGTCCAATATGTAGTAGCCAGATTGGTAAGGCTATGTGGGTGAGAACCTGAATCTGTTGAAACTAGTGAGAAGGTTGTACTTGTAGGCAGAATTGGGATTTCTTCTTCTTTGGTGCCTCCCTTGTCACAGGTCTGATGCCGTCCTGTTCTTCTGTTCTTGTTTTTGCAGAATATCCAGAAGATGCTTGGTCTTGCTCCTTCCCGGGCTGCCACTAAGCAAGCAGGGGGCTTCCTTGGCCCACCACCTCAGGCAGGGAAGTTCTCCTAAAGCACACAGCCTTCATGGAAGGCCTGACCAGTGCACAAGACTGCCTTTGGGAGGTAACAAGATGGGATTCTGCACCAGGCTTCACAGGTCCAAAACCAGCCTATGCAGTGTTGGCCACAGACTTGGAAACATCTTCCATTTGGACTATTCTACCAGCGGTTGTTTGCTCATCAAACCAAGAAAGTTCTCAGAAGATAACTTGACCTTTTGTTTCTGGTGTTTCTGAGAAATAAATGGCAATGGGCATGTTGATTTAGATGTCTCATAATTGTGCTGTAGAACAAGTAGAAATACCTTGATGTAGTGCAGTTGACTTAGTCTACATCATGGAAGTCAACTCAGAGTGAGATCTGCAAAGGAGATAACTTGGGAAATTCAGAACAATCATGCTGTGAAGTGACCTTCTTGTCTTAGACATACTGGCTATAGTCTTATGTAGCAGGGAGCTTGGCAAGTAGGTGTGCTTATTTTCCTTTTGCAAAACTTCCAGTGTGGAGGGTGAGGCTTTTTGTTGGCTCAGGTGACTGGAGGCACTAGAACTTCCCCTTGTACCAGGCTGTCTTTTTTTGGAGTTTGCAAGTGTTTCTGGATGTATAGTCAGCCTGTGTTGTCTTGGCAGAGTAGAGCCCCACAGAGACTTCTGTGGCATTACACAGCTTCTGTAAGTCACTTGCTTAAGGAGAATCTGCTCAATTACAGAAACAAACCTGGCCTTCAAACTTTACTTGAGTAAATGGCTAAATTTTGCCAGTGCCAGTCACTGTTACTAACCCTTTATTGCCTGAGTGTTATGACAGCAGCATTTTTGTTTGTGCTCCTTAGTTGACTGCTAAACAGCCTGATGATCAGTATGCATCTTAAAAGGCTTCCTTCTTAGGCCAGGAAGCTCTCTACTCTGTCTTCTCCTTTGCCAAATAATTCTCTGCTTCAGTCTTGTTGGCTGGAGCCCACTCACCTTGTTTAAAAGGGGTGAATAAATCTTGCTGCCACTCTGAAGTTAGGCTGGCAGTTTTCCTGAAGCAGGCAGTACCCATGAGGGTATTGATTTCTTGCATCTGTGACCAGAGGTTTATAATGTGGTACCTCTTACTGGGAGTTTTTGACTAGATGCAGGGCAAGGGGATAAATCTGAAACACCTTATGGCAGCGTGGAGCATGTAAGATACCACATTAAATAGTAAATATTGGATTAATTCCCATTAATAAGCATGGGGCACTTTCACAGGATTATTTAAAAATAAGTCATGAGTGTGGAACCTCTATTCAATGCTCTGCCTCACAAAACTAAGTATTTGCCAGGTAAAGGAAAGAATCTAGTGTATACTAATGCTGCCTGGTGCTCAGGCTGTGTTTTTGACTTCCTGCTATGTCTGGTGTAGCTACAAATTTTCACAGGGAACAGCCCTGGCTGTGTAATTCCAGTTTCCCTTGAGTAGCCTCTTTCAGCTCAGTGGCCTGATCCCCCAGCAAAGCCAGAACCACCCCAGCCTGTCACCTGCATGGACCAGCTTTGTTGAAGTAGTTTATTCTGTAGCATATGGTTGTCTAGATCCAACTAAAACAAATAACATCTGAAGCAATTAAGGGTTGTGTGCAGTACAGTAACCTACCCTGCTACTGTCAGACTCTGCCCCTAGCAAATCTGCACGTGTTGCATTACACCGCACTTTGTCACTTGGGGAGGGGAGTATCTGAAAATTATTTGTCTGTTACTATATTCTGGTTGCTTTCTGCTCTCATTTGTTTCAGTAGTTTTCTGAGGGTTGTCAGTTGGTATAATGAACAGCTTGCTTAACCTCAGCCACTGAAAGGTGTGAATTCTTAGAATCTACACAATGGAATGAAAAACAGGAAGACTCTGGTTGGGAGGAAAAAAGGATGTTCTTGGTTCTGTTTCATGGATAACAAAAAAAACCCTGCATGTATATCTCAAGTGCAACTGGTCACATCTTCAAGGAGGCTTAACTACTCCCAGGTGGTGATGTAGTGGGTGGTAATTTACATGTGTTGCTCCTTCTCCCCTCCATAAAGCATCATGCACAGCCCTAGACCTGTTCCTTTGTGCTTCTTTTTGTCCTTTGCGCAACTTCAGTGCTGTCTTGGCTGCAGCTATTAGAGGAGCTTTTTTGGAAACTCAGCAGTAGATGGCTGTGGAATATGGGGAAATTTGCCTTCCTGCAAAGCTTTCGCTTTTGGTTGTACCTATCGACTCCTTCTTCGTGAATGTTAACGATTCACCAAAACCCTTTTACAACTTCAGCCTCGAGCGGGGTGGGACGTGCTACCTCCGAGGGGCGCGCCGCCGCCGAGCCGCTAGGGGGAGCCTGAGAGTTGGGCAGGGCCCCGGGTTCCGCCCCACGCATGCGCGTGCCCGCCACGTAAAAGGCCGCGGTGGAGGCGGCGTCCCGCGGGGTTTCGCGTTGGCCCCACGGGATACAGCCCCTTCTCCCGTGGGGTTTCCCCAGCCCACCGCTTTCTTCCCTCCCGCGACGGCCCAGCCGATGCTGGTGCGGTCCCGGTTGCCGAACCTCCTTCCCCGACTCTGCGCCCTCCCTCCCAGCCTCGCCATGAGCAGCGTTACCGGTACCATCACCGTCCAGCAGCCCCTCAACTACCGAGCGGGCGTCCGCGTTCAGCCTGCTGACGGCGGCCAGGCCGAGGAGGTGTATGAGCCGGCCACAGGTATCGCCCCGCTGCCTGCCCGGGGTGTGTGTGGGGGGTTAAACCGGCGCTGAGACCGGTACCCGGGAGTTGCCTCGCATGTTATTGGCAAGAGCCGGGTGCCTTTGGCTTCTCCCAGCTGCCCACATCGGATGCCGCCTGTGCAGGCGTCCTCAACGCCGTGGTGTTTTGGTTGCCTCCTGCAGTGCAGGCCCATCAAACTTTTTAAAAGAAATCAGCTCTGACTCTCAGTCAAACAAAAAATTGAGGGGTGCCTGATCTTGGCAAAGGTCACAATTTAAACGTTTCTAAAATTTTTTTTTTTTTTTTTAAATGGAGGTACCTAGGTTTCCGCAGGATCACTTCAAGAAAGAGGCTTAGCTATGCTTAGGAATGTGTAACAGAGTCCTGAAGCTGGTGGTAGAAGTATAACAAACTCCAGTGGGAAATGAGGAATTTTGTAACAACTGGAGCTAATTAATAACTAGAACATGACTGTGGAGAATGGCAGATATTTTAATTCAGACAACTGAATTGCAGCACCTCTTCTATAGCCAATTACTAATCAGTGGGAACTATGGCATGAAGTTCTGTAGCCTTATATAGGTGCTGGACTGAAGTCTTTGAGGTGTGATGAAAGATAAGCCATATTCTTTTGTGCCCCTTTTCTGAGATTTCCATCTTACTTATTTCCGGTTTAAAATGTACCCAGGTCGTGTGATAAGCAAGCTGCTCTGCTCGGGGGAGAAGGAGGTCGATCTGGCTGTGCAGAGTGCAAAGGCTGCCTTTAAAATATGGAGTCAGATGTCTGGCATGGAGCGGAGCAGGGTGCTGCTGGAGGCTGCCAGAATTATTCGGGTATGTCGTGGGAGCTCGCCCCCTCATTTGGAGAGGGGTGGTTCTGTCTCTGATCTTTCTTGTGGGTTAACGTGGCTGTTGGAGGCTTCCAGCAGGCCTTCCAGAGCTCTGGGAGGAATGCAGGAGTTAAAACCCACCTTTGATCAGAAGAGACAGTAGGTTGCCTTGGGGCAGGGCTTAGGTCTTACCACTTTATTTAAGGCCATTGTGTACCTTCTCTGCTTCATTCTTTTAGAAGACATAAAACTGAAGGCATCCAGTTGAGATGTTGCAGGGCTTATACTTCTTCTCGCAACTCCAGAGATTAAGCTTCACTGTATGTGATTTCAAAGCTGAAATTGCGCAACTGTCACATTGTTGAATTTTTAGCTTGTTCGACACTGTTGGCATATGACTGGAGTGTGTCTTGCTTTAGCAATAAAAAAAATGTAGCAATGCTGGTTTTTATCTTAGACACCAGATAATACACATGGGAGAGGATACAAATAAGCTAGCTTTATCATAAACTGCTTTGTGAGATAACGAGTTCTTGGACATCAAAGTAAATCCCCATTGAGGCACAGATCTGTAAGAAACCAGAACTTCTTTGTCCAGTATGTATTTGTGATGAGAAAACTGTGTTCTTTCTGCCAGACTTCTGCTGCTGCTAGGCTTCTGCAGCAGAATAGTATTTCCGCCTTGGAGACAGTCTGTTAAAGGACTCTTCCCAGCTGCGTGGCTTTGTCTGTCCTTCACCAAGTCCTCTGGTTCCATTTTGATCTTGCTGTTTGCTGTTCCTCCCAGTTTAGTTCTGTGAATTCTAATCATTGTTTACCAGCCAGCTTCTTGGTTCAAGTTTGCTCATCTTTCAGATAAACAGGGATGTTAAGCAAGACTGGACTAGCAGTGAACCCTAGCAGCTGTCTGTTTGACATTCCCCCGTGATCCGTTGCTGCTGGGAAATTGATAAATAGCGATTGGGACTGTACCTTTGACAGTTTCTCACAGCAGAGCCTGGCTTACTGATGGCAGAGCCTTGTTTGAGACTTGCATGCTTGAGAAGCAGCTCTTTCCTTGTGGAGTTCTGCTACAGGCTTCTCTAACATGTTGTCACTGTACTGTGCCTCTCGCAGGAGCAGAGAGAAGAAATTGCCACCTTGGAAACCATCAACAATGGGAAATCTATCTTTGAAGCCAGAGTGGACATTGACATATCCTGGCAGTGCCTGGAGTATTATGCAGGACTGGCAGGATCTCTAGCTGGTGAGAATGATACTGGAGTTTGCCCTTTACTCTGTGTCCTGCCACTTGTGTTCCCTGGTAACTTCCATGACACAAGACCATCTTTGCTGCTGATTTCTCTGAGATGGACTACTTCTTTTTCCGAAGATCTTGGGATGGTTTTCAGAGATTTCTACCTAATGCTGCCATGCTCTGTGGTCACTTACGCACCTTCTGTGAGCTTGCTGGGGTAAAAGCCGCGTGTCTCTGTTCCCAATCAAAGTGAGATCTAGCCCCTGATGCTCTGATAAGATAGGAAGGGGTTTTGCTCTTCTCTACCTTCTGGCTGTTTCTTTTCTTTGCAGGTGAACATATCCAACTTCCTGGGGGATCCTTTGGGTACACTCGGAGAGAGCCCCTCGGGGTGTGTGTTGGGATTGGAGCCTGGAACTACCCTTTCCAGATTGCCTGCTGGAAGTCTGCCCCAGCCTTGGCTTGCGGTAATGGAGACACTCTACCCACGCATACTTCTCTTTGAAGCCAAATGATCCTGTGAGGGGCAGTGATTTGGGGGATAAAGTCTAGGATTATCTTGAAGGAGGCATTGAAGGGTTATCAGAACCTTCAGGTTGTTACTCTGGCAGGAAGGGAAAGGAAGTGGAAATGGGAACGCAGCAGATGCTAGGAGGGCAGGAGTGCATCAGGAAAAAGGCTGATTGCTTGGCTTTGTGCCAGATGAGGAAGGAATCTGGAAGTGTCTGCAGTGCAGGACCAGCAGCCCCATCTCCCCAGCCCTTCCCAGCAGGAAGGTGCAGTTACTCCTTTTCCCTGGTTGCAGTGTTCAGATGAAACTGTTTCCTCCTTTCTTGGGGGGATCTGCTGGTATGTCTTAAGACAAAATAATTGTGTGGGGTATTTTTTGTTGTTTTGTTTTTTTTTTTTCCCCCCAAGCAGTTTGGGTTTTAACCCCGTTTTGCCTCTGTCTGGGTTCCCCTAGGCAATGCGATGGTCTTCAAGCCCTCTCCCTTCACCCCCATTTCGGTGGTGAGGTTGGCGGAGATCTTCACAGAGGCCGGTGTGCCCAAGGGGCTCTTCAACGTGGTGCAGGGTGGAGTGGCCACAGGCCAGTTCCTCTGTCATCACCCAGATGTGGCCAAAATCTCTTTCACTGGCAGTGTGCCAACTGGCATTAAGGTAAAGGTGCCTTCGTACTCAGTGATACAGGGGGTCTGTAGTGACAGCTTTCCTGGTGTGTGGTGGATGTTGATACCTCTTAGGGCTTTTTTGCATGAGGCTTGTAAAGATGGGGTGCGAGTCGGCATTTCTGAGTCTGAGCAAGGAGCTTGCATGTACAGGGCTACACTGGGGCTCCAGTTAGCCTACTGGGCATGGGCTTGGGCACTCGGTCCTTTTCAGAGGAGCCCCTTGGTCATCTTCACTTGTTTAGCCCCTGGCTGCAGTGAAATCTGAGCTGAGCTGCTAAAGTGGGTATCTGTGTGAGAAGGGTACATAAAACAGAGCAGTACTGGGAAAACGTGTGAGTGTTTCTGGCAGTCATAGTCCAGTTTAACCTACTGTTTTTAAGCAGGAGGTTGGTTTCTGTGAATTTCACACTCTCAATTTATTCTTCAAAAAATTATAAGTCCCTATACTTCAAAAAATAAATTCTGATTTAAGAGGGGAAATGTTTCTCCTTGAACTCTCCTTACATGTGTGTGCCTGTGGGGTGCAGCGTCACAGATGTAGTTACAGCTGTCCTCTTGGTTTCTGCTGAGCACAAGACATCCTGCAAATGACTCCTCAGGTTTTGTTGCTTTTACCTTGAAAAAAAACAAATCCCAAACCCTCTGAGAGTGGGACAGTCTGAGCTAAACACATCTAGGAAACCCAGCTTGCCCTTCATGCTGCTTCTGTTGTTGGTAAAGGGCCCTGAGGGAACTCTCCTCCTGGGTGTCTCTTACTTCCCTCCACCCGCCTCCCATTTACCAGTGGGTCACTTGTCTCCTCTGTCCTTGTTTCCCTCAGATCATGGAGATGGCAGCTAAAGGGATCAAACCAGTCACCCTGGAGCTGGGGGGCAAATCCCCCCTTATCATCTTTTCAGACTGTGCCCTGGAGAATGCTGTGAATGGAGCCCTCATGGCAAACTTCCTCACGCAGGGCGAGGTGCGTGTTTATAGTACAGGAGTGGTCCTCCTCAGTGTGGTGGGATGGTTTGAGAATTGGGCAGCAGAGCCAGCCTGTGACCTTGCTTTGTGAGGGATGCCTTGAAGCTCCAATATTGCCACACATTTCCTTGTGCAGTGTCACAAGTGATCAGAAGGGACATTATTGCAGAAGCCGGTGCAGGGTGTGCCTTAGCTGAATGCCCTGTCCTTCCCAGAAATGGAGCCTCTCTAGTACCTGGTACCCAGCTCAGCAGCTGCTCCTGCATCTTGGGCTCCAGTCTGGCACACAGAGGTCAGAAGAGGCTGTGCTGGTGTCCTCTGGAGGGGCAGCAAGTTCCAGTCTGGTGCACTGAGCCACAGCCCTGTGGAGGACTCTGTCCATCCCAAATTTGGGATCTCCACACCTGCTGCAGGTTTTGTGTAATCTTGCTGGCAAATTGGCTTACAGGGTCATCTCTGGGAACTGAAAAGGCCGCTCAAGTTCTTTCCTGCTGGTGACTTGATGCGTTTTTGCCGCCTGGTGGCATCAGTACCACTATGTCCAGTGTGGACTGTTTCAGTGCAGTCATGAGCAGCAGGGTAGTCTAGTCGTCTTTGTCCCCAGGGACACGTTAGCTGTTTTAGCAGCTGTGAAGGGGCTTTTCTGAGAGCCTCTTTATCGGGATCCAAGCAGGGAAGGACTGTGGAGTGCTGTGTGTCTTATTCTGAGCAACCTGTCCTGTATCCCAGGTATGCTGCAACGGCACGCGGGTGTTTGTGGAGAGGAAGATACTGGATGCCTTCACAAAGGAGGTGGTGAAACGCACACAGAAAATTAAAGTTGGAGACCCGCTTCTGGAAGATACACGGATGGGAGCCCTCATCAACCGGCCCCACCTGGATCGTGTCCAGGGCTTTATCAAGCAGGCGAAGGAGCAGGTGAGATTGTGATGCTGCCTTGGGACTGCCGTGAAATGTCTGTCTTGTCATACGAACAGACCAGCAGCTGCTTTCCTGCCCCGTGCCTTCCCAGTTAAGCTGTGTTTTTGTTGTGGTTGAATTACTCAATAGGTGTCTTGGGCCACTAGATAAAAGGGCTAAAGTCAGCATTGAAAGTCACATGGCTTTTCATATCCTGATGTTGCCAAGTTTGGGAGGGTGTGAGACACCCAGCATAGCAGTGTGTAAAATGGAATACACATTTGGGCCATTTCACCACAACTCTTTTGTAAGTTGTGGTGAAACTGTGCATGCTTGGCTGTGATCTCATTTGGATTCCAGTTTCATTGGTTGCAGAAAGGGCTTACTAAGGATCAAAGACCAAATTTACAGGCTGCTGGAAACAGTCTCTGTAAGAGCAGTAAGATCTGCCCAGGCTTTTTTGGTTTTTTCTCCAGGTTTTATTGTAAAGTGTAAAGATGTTTTAAATGTCAGCACTAGATATATGACTAGCTGTAGCCAATTAGAGGATGGGCTGGAGAAGGGGAACTGTGAGAGAGCCAGGAGGGCTGGACGAGGACTTAGAAACAGGAAGATGGATGTGGAAGGAGAGGAGAAATGTCCGTCTCTAAAGCGGGGCATTTGATGGAGGTAGGTGTTTCTTGCCAGGTGGGGTGCTAAGAGACTGATGGACTCACTAATTGACGGAATTCATACCATGTGAAGTTAATGTGATGCCAACTGAGGATCTGCTCCTAGTTGTAGTTGCTTCCCTCCAACTTACACTGGCTGCTGTGGCACTTGGACCCAAACCAGGATTGTTTGGACTTTTAGGATGGGTCTCACCCCTTCACCCTGATCAGTGATGCTCTGTCTCTGGTGGAGGGACACCAGGGAGGGCATAGGCACGGTTTGTCCAATAGGACTGTAAATCCAGCAGAGCTGTGGCAGTTGGGCAGGATGCCCCTGGACATGCTTGCCTACCTTCTGCTTGGCTCTTTTTCAGGGGGCAGAGGTACTGTGTGGTGGGGACTTGTATGTACCAGATGACCCAAAGCTGAAGAATGGCTACTACATGCGACCCTGTGTGTTAGGTATGATCCTTCCTATTCACAACACCGCAGTCTTCTACATGGATGTTGACAAGTTTTGTCTAGAGAAAGCTGTGTTCTGCGTAACCTGTTTCTGTGTACATCCACAGTGTGGACAGGCACTGTTATGGGTGTATTAGAGAGAGCTGAGGCACCCAAGAACTGCATCCGGAGAAATCTCAGCTGTTGGAGGGTCTGACAGGATGCACGCTGTTAGTGCCTTTGCTGCCTTGAGATGCGGGATGGGACTTGCTCATCTGCTAGCCAAGCCGGGGGGTTGTGCAGTGCTGAGTGCTGTCTCAAAGGCTGTGTGGGTTGCTGAAAGCACAGGCTGTTCTGCTAACTCTTCATCCTGAAGCACATGTGCTGTGCCACTCTTCCAGGGAACTGCACGGATGACATGACATGTGTGAAGGAAGAGATCTTTGGACCTGTCATGTCCATTCTGCCATTTGACACAGAGGAGGAGGCTGTAGAGAGAGCCAACAACACCAAATTCGGCCTGGCAGGTGGTGTCTTCACCAGGTATGACTGGGCAGCGTGGCTGGTGTGGAAGTGGTCTAGGGAGAGGAGGTGAGGGGAACTACTGTAGAACCTTGATGCTCCTCTTGCAGTGCCGGGCATGGATATCCTCTTCCAGAAAAGCTGGAGCAAGGGATTGCCAAAAGGAAATTTGCACATGACTGCACATCTCCCCCTAGTTTTTCCTGCGGGGTTAGGTGGGCCCAGCGTCACCTGTCTGCAGTTACACAGTAACATCCAGCTCAGTCTGAAGGTGTCCTTCAGTCCTTCAGACTCCTTCCAGCCTGTGCTTGGCCTGCTGCCTGCCTTCCTGCATCTCCAGGAGACGTGCACCAGGAGCCTGCCATACTGCTGAAAGCACCCGAAGATGGCTGTTGGCTGCTTGCTGCAGTCTGCTTTGCTGGTGTCCTTGTCCTGCCGTCTCAAATCAAATGTAGTTTTGAGTGTCCCTTGGGAATAAGTGCTACATCCTTTGAGCAGGCAGAGACAGAGTAGGGGAGGTCAGGCTCCAAAAACCACTGTGACCTGCTGGCCTTTTTCTAGTGGGATGTCAGCTGGCAGGGGAGGAGGGGATGAGTAGGAAGGGATCCAGCTGAATTGCCCTTTTCCTGCAGGGATATCCAGAAGGCTCACAGGGTAGTGGCTGCTCTCAAGGCTGGGATGTGCTTCATTAACAACTACAACATCAGTCCTGTGGAGCTACCTTTCGGAGGATACAAGGCATCAGGTAGGCTCTTTGGCCTGTGTGCCAGTTACGGGGGGGTACAAGTGGTAGCTGGCACTGCCTGGAGCTGTGTTCTCACTTCTGGCTTGTCCCTGCAGGATTTGGCAGAGAAAACGGGCGGGCAGCCATCGAGTACTACTCGCAGCTGAAGACTGTCTGCGTGGAGATGGGCGATGTGGAATCTGTGTTTTAGTGGCTCTGGGGCCTGCTCAAGGGACCATCAGCCAGTTCTTGCCTGTCAGCCAGAGATGTAGATCATTTACACAGCAATAAAGTGCTCTAAAGTTCTAAGTGCTTTGGGGAGAGCATAGCTGGAGCAGCGTTTAGCCACCCTGCTCCTGCAAGGGGGAATGTGCACACGGGGTAGCCTGTGGTCCTGCTCCATCCTGTCTGGTGGGAGATGGGAACCTTGGAGTAGGAGGGAGCACTGTGGCTTTCAGCAGCAGCTCGTGCAGCTACGTAGGTGTTACCAGAGGCTTGTCAGTGGCAGAGGCCCAGCCCAGGCTGCTTCCCCTGCTCTGTGCCTTGAACCCCATTGCCTTCCACCCTCAGTCAACTTTGGTTTTGGCTTCTTAACAGGTAATGACCCCTCTCAATGCACATATAAGCTCTTGGACACGTTGATACTCTGTAAGCTATAGGCTCTGTCTATTCCCTGACTACATAAAAACCTTAAGGGTAGGATTTTTTTATTCCCTCTAGCTCCTTTGTAAACCTAAGCTTTGTTTTTTCTATCTATTCTTTACTTCTGACGTGGGACAAAATATTTTGGGGAGGGTGAGCTGATGGTGCCTGGGACAGGCATGGCCCTAAGAATCGTCTCCACATGCTGAGTATGGAGGACAATCAGATTTGTAGCAAGCTCCAATGTAGGGTAGATTACTGCCTCTCTTGAGCGAAAGCTATTTGACTTCCTTGCTATAGGCCTACTGTTCTTTTTATAAACATGATGAAGCAACAACTTTAAATGTTTGCCTACATCTTTTTTTAGCAATCAAATAAATATTAACTCAATTTGGAACATCTTATTGCAGAGTGACATGAATTGAGGGGTCCAGAAATAGGGCTGCTGCTGTATTGGTTAAACAGGTTGCAAGATGGCTTTTTGGTCACCAAAATCGTAAAAGCTAGGACATCTCTGCCTGACGGGGCAGATTTCTATAGTCATACAAAACCAGAGTTGTTCTAGCATTCTGCAAAATTTCTCAAGAAAACCCTTTATAATATTAGAATGAAAATACAGAATTAATAACTTCATTTTATTGCATGAGAAGAAAAGAAAAAAGAAAAGGAGATGAAATGAAATGTTCTAAAAGAAAACAAAACAAAAATCCCTTTTGTTTCCCAAGTGGCCATCACAATGGTCAGTCCTGGCAGATCCAGCCGAGGTGCTGGCAAGCCGAATACACGCCTGTGCCCACCAGCCCAATGAGTGCAGCTGAACCAATGGCCCCTCTCCTTCGGTTTTTTGGTTCTGGAGGCAGGGGAAAAAAGACATGTTTTGTCAGTTCAGAAGCCCATCACTGAAAGACTAGCCCGTGCTGAAAATCGGAGGAAGTGGGAACTAGAGAGAAATCTCAAGGTAAAACAGCAGGCACCAGCTCGGGCCATGTACCTGCCCTCAGGCTGTGCTATTATTTGATTAGTGCTCTTCCTATCAGTAGGAAAAGAATGCTGTAGAGTTAGCAGCCTGTGGACCTGCACCCTTTTCTCCACACCCTGACTGGAAGCTTTATGTTCCCTCTTTGATGCGAGCTGGAGGAAAGAGCCCTGAAGCCACTGCAGGAGACTTGAGTTTCCAAGCACCTTCTGTGCTGCAAGGGTGAAGACCTACCTCCTGTGTAGTAGCCATAGGCATAGAGGAGTCTCCCAAGGATCCAGGTGATGCCAAGTCCCGTGGCAATCCGCTAGAGAGAAAGCAGAAGCATTAAAGGTTTTGGAGACTTGCCGCTTGCATGTGCTTAGATGTTACAGCAGCCCTGCTTCAAAGAACCAATCACCAACTACAGCGTGGGTCCTGACCTTGCTAGGACAACTGGGAGTCATCCTGAGGGAAGTGGGTGACTGATGTAGCATGCTAGGGTGAGTTTTGTATAGGAGGGGTTGCTGTCATGATGCCTGTGGAGAGGTAGCATGTGATGTGCTGCAGAGCCTCATTGTTTTGCAGCACAACTCTTCCCAAACAAGAAATGGTTAAGTCAAAGGGGCAGCAGCTGCTGAGTCTCATTTCACCACTCTCCAATTTAGTGAGCTAGCTCAAGTGCCAGGATCTTGGAGGCAGCTGTTGCCCCAAGCCCCGCTCCACTGCTTCCAGCAGGTGTACAAGGTTTCCTCTTGCAGGTGTTACAGACTTCCACCTTGCTCCTTAATTTAGAGCTTGCTGCAATGTAGCTCCAGTTTGCCAGATTTGCCTATGCTGCTTGCTTCCCTCTCTGAAAAGGAATATTCAAGAAGGATCTGATTTGTGTATTGGTGGCAAAGAAAGAGCTACTGATTTTGGCCTCTTCCCACACGCCTGCCTCCTCAGGAGTTGTCTACATCTTTCAGTGAAAAACCCAAGCTTTTTTTGATCCTTTGCGCACCTCCTTTGGTGGTGGAAGTGAGTGGGAAGATGTTCCCGATCTATTCTTATTAGATAAACTCCCCATGAAAGTGTGTTTAGATGGGGGGAAAAAGGGTTCCTGCCACTGGGCAGCACTGCTGTAAGCCCAGCAGGACCCTGCAGGGCTTGGAAGAACCAGGTAGGGCTGGAGGAACCCTTCCTGCTCATGGATGAGGCTGCGAATGCTTCAGTTTGTCTGACAAGGCACCCTTAGGGGAAGGAAAGGTATCTAAAGCTGAAGCAGCAGTAACGAGTTTATTAAATACTTGTGGTTCCCCTGCAGAAGACTACCTACAAATAGATTTTCAGAAGAGGCACAGCTGTGAAGCATGATGTGGCTAGTGAAGCAGCCTGCTGCCTCCAGAGGGGCTAGCTTGGCCTCCTGCCTCCCACACTCCTCAAGTCAGGGAGCAAGAGCAGAGCTCAGTCATGCAGACATGCACTACAGTGTCACTTACCGGGTGGTAGATTCCACCGGTGGCTAAAAAGAACAGGAAGGTGGGGTAAACTTCCAATCTGAAAAGAAGAGCAAGGAGGTTGCATTTGTACACAAGTTGCTTACAAAGAAGAAACTCTAGAAACACAGAAGCTGCAAGCATCCCCTGCCACGGTCTCTGGGCCTGAATGTTGCGAGTCTCTGTGCTCAGGAGAGCTGCGCTTGATGCTGTAGCTGCAGACGGAGGTAAGAGGGAGTCTGAGCACGCACAGACTTTTAGGGACACCCTCCCGTCTATGCCTCTCTCCAAGGCCACCTGCGCCTTCTGTTTTGTGCCTTAAGCCACTGCTAAATACTGTTTGCCACCAGCTAACCCAGGAGAACTCGTTCTTCCCAGTGCTCCACCGGTGTGCTGTTGCAGCCTGGTCCACAGTAGCTGGGTGGACTTGGGCCTCTCGCCAGGGAGATGTGGGCAGCACAACAGATCAGCACCCGCCCCCAGACAGGCTCTTCTGGGAACAAGATTTACAGTGTCTTAAGATCCACCCGCGGAGGCAAACAGCCAGGCAAATGAGGAAGAGGAGGCTGCTTCACAGGCCCGTCTCATGGTTTGAAGCACAGTAAGGAGCCAGCATGGCCTTACTGCTAAGCACTACATGGTCATGTGTTTTCCTCGAGTGCTGAGCCTGAACCCAAGCACTTGGCAGCAGCAAGGCTCTAGCTGTAGGCCCTGCTCCACAGCCCTGTGCATTTTCAAGGTGTGCATTCATACATGGTACTCACGTGTTCTGGTGTGCACGCTGGATGCAGTTGAATATACGCCCGTGTTCAGGGTCTGTGCTGTACATAGTTGGATACTGAAAAAAAAAAAAACCAAACCAAAAAACCAGCAGCAAAACATGAGCAAGCGTGGTCTGGGCTTGGGGGCCTGGTGTTCTCCAGCAGCGAGGAGCGTGCCCTTGCAGCACCTCTCCCCAGGGAGCCCAGAGCTGCATGAGCGCTTGCTAGACTGACTTGCATTGGCAAGTTAAGTGCCTGCCTCCTAGCCCTCGGCCCACAGCTGCTTTGTTAAAATTGCTACTTGCCCTAGGCCAATTCCTGAACTCCCTGAGCAACTTGATGGTACCCTGGAGCTGGCCCTGCTTCAGACAGAAGATAGCCAGGCACTGTGTGACCTCCCTGTTTAAATCCCATCCCTCTGGAGGGGAGGGCAAAACAGCGCTACTGAGGACATGTCCCCGTGTCTCCTCTGGGGAGCTGGCAGCAGCCCATCGCCTGGGAACAGGCTGGGAGGACACTGCCTTCCTCACCCCTGCAGAGCTGAGCAGGCAGCAGGAGCTGCCGCTTGGCTGCAGCAGCTTCCCCAAGCCTGAGATCCAGTGCTCCACGCACCGTGCGTGCCGGCTGCATTTGCTATGATCCCGACTTCATGCCGCAGGACTGGGGGGACCCCAGCGTGCTCGGGGTGCCTGCAGCACACGCCCTGGGGCTGTCCTTGCACTCAGAGCCAAGTGGCACAGCAGCCTCCCCATGCCATCGCCCTGACTCACAGACAGGGCCGTCCCCACCCAGCCCACAGCCCTGCCCAGCTCCTCAGTAGATGCCAAGAGAAGGTCACTTTGAAAGACTTCTTGTGACAGCGCTCATCGGCTCTCTCTGAGAAACCCTCCTGTCATTTTTGTTCCATCGCCTTTTGCCCCCAATGCTGCGTCGGCCTTCTCCGCAGGGAAAAGGGCGGTGCGGTTTCTTGCTCAGCAGCCTTTCCGAGCTCAAAGCCTTGTACTTTCAGCCATCTCGGCTCAGTGCCAAGTGCCTGATCTGCCAACCCCCAAGCTCTGTCGTGCTGTCTGCTCCAGTCTGGAGAGCCAGAACAGCAGCTCCATCCCTTCTGCATCCATGCGGTAGGGCAGGAAGTGTCAGCAGGTCACTCAAAAATAAGCAAGGTGTCACCCAGCCTGTCCGCAACATACCCCACAGCCTGGCTCCGACCTTGCGTTCCCTCAGCCTGAGCACTCACCTCCACGTTGTACTTCTTGCGGGCCTTGGCCACTTTCACCGCGAGGTGCGTGACCAAGACAAAGCTGGCAGCCCCCGTCAGGATGACATAGCCGTACTCCTTTGAGAGAACAGCCATCTTGGTGCTGTCAGAAAAAAGAGAGCCTGTTACTATTTCAGGGTGTGACTGGAGAAGTGGCAGCTCACTAGGTGCAGATATGTGTGTGTGGAAGAGTTGCTGAGCATGGAGGTGAGACCTCTCAGTACGGGGACTGGCGGAAGGAAGGAAGGAATAGTGAGTTGGGGAGTTTTCGCCTCTTGCTGCCTGTCAAGCAAGCCTTAAAATCAGTGAATTGTTGGTGGGGGACAGTGTCTGGAGGACCCTAGTCCAGCCTCTAGCTCAGAGCAGGACTACAGCCAACAGTAGGTCCCATCAGCTCTGACGGTGGCTGGCTAAGTCCCATGACCTCACGGACACAGTGCTGTGCCTGCAGGGATGGTCTGGAGAGGTGGACGGAAACTGATTGTTCATGGCCCCTTCCAACACCAGAGCTAGGGCCAGCAACAAAGTCAGGAAACAGACTCAAAGAAAACCGAAAGAGGGGTTTTTGCCATGCAGTGGGAAACAGACCTGTGGAACTCCCTGAGGAGGGATGTTGCGAATGCAGGCAGTTTTCAAACTCAAAGGGAAACTGGGCAAGCTCTGGGAATAAGACGTAAATTGGGAATTATAATACAGACAAACACAAACTGGCTCAGAAATCCCCTGAGCTGAAAGGAGCTGGGCTACGTGAATCATTAGTTTGAACCGTGAAGCTCATCCTTACCTAAAATAATAATGGAAACCACCACAGCAGCAATAATAACCAAACCTTTTTGGTAAAGAGGCACTGGCCAGACGAGTGACTCTCACCCCCACAGCTTCAAGGAACCCTCTCAGAGTCACAAGTCAGTGAATGGCCCCAGCAACACGCAGCTGCTGGCATTTACCAACATCTGCACAAGCGAGCCTGCCGGCCAGGAGACACCCGGGCCTGCGTGGTTTGCGTTTAATGGTTCCGCGCTTCCTCGCGCAGGCCCGAGATGGAAGCGCGGAGCAGAAGGCGCACCCAGCGCCCTCCACCGCGCTGCCCCGCGGCAAGGCCGCGTCGCGCGCTTCTCCCTCTCTCCTGCTCCCCACCTGCCCGGCCTGCCGTCAGCCTGCACTGCTGCGAGGGGCTCGACGCCGAGCGCTGCGGCACCCTCCCCGGCTGCAGGCGAGCGCAAGGCCCCTTCCCCACAACCGTCTGGCGCTGGTTCTCTTGCGCAATCCCAAACTTCAGATGTTTTCTGTCGCGTGACCCGAGACGGCGCTGCATGATGCAGCGCACACTCTCTCCAGCATCCGGACGAGAGCCTCTCCAAACTGAACCCCAGCTGATGCCAATCTCCATCTGGTGCCTCCACGATGGAGCAAGGTTTTGGTGTCTCCTGCACCATCCCACCAACACAACCTGTCAGTGTGGGGGAAAACAGGCCACATCACAGAACTGGTGCAAACAGCCTTCCTACACCAGCACCCCTCACAGGGGATCTTCAGGGACCAGAGCCTTTTATTTCTCATTTGCAAAGGGATTATTATTGGTGGAGCAAGGTGAAGACACCAGCTCGCTTTGTCCACATGAAGTTTGGTAAACAATTATCAGTAAGAAAGTTCAAAACCTGAAGTAACTGAGAAACGTCAGCTGCACCCACATGTAATAGAGGTTAGTAGTGCCTGACAGATGAGAGACCAAAAATACAACACGTTCCCACCCAGTAGAGCAGGTTGATGGTCACATTTCCCCCTTCAAATTACAAGGTTGGTGGAGAACCCCACCTGCCAGCAAGGACCAGGCATTTTATCTTCACAGTGGTAAATTATAATCCGGGATTTTATCTCAGCAGTAAAAAGCACGATTAAGTCACAGCAAAGCATTAAGACAGGTGTATCATAAAGCTGCTGCTCTTACACTACTAGCATTGAGCTCTACTGTGAGCCTTTGCTCTAGTAATCCGGAGCTACATAAAGCACTTCAAAGTCCACAGGACTTTCGGCCCCCCTCCGACTGCACGCCTTGCGGCTGTTTCCGGATTCTGCTGCCTTCTGCATTTCGGCAACCTTTGTCCACAGCTGCAAGGACTTTGCTGACAAGCCCTGGCGCGGTGTACGAGACTGAAGTCGTATCTTCCATGCAGCAATGTTTCAGGCCGGAGGCACAGGACGAAGCGATTCTGGAGCGTGACACGGCACAGACTGGGAGCTGTAGCAGACGAGCTCCCCGGGGGTGCTTTTAGTTCAGAATAAGGGTTCTTACCAACTTTGCTGTAACACTACAGTTATTATGAGTCAGCAAAGATGAAGAAGTCTCCTCATGGAGAGGAGACTGGATTCCGCCTGGGCTGCCAGATACAATCTCAGACCTTCTCTCAAGCCAG